TGCTGAGAGCAGGACGTCTACCTCCCTAGTTTCATGGAAGGACTGTGAGATGGCATGAACTTACATAGCAAGTCTCTCTAAAAGACGTGGGTTTGGATGTGTATACGGGTAGCATTTCCAGCAGAGTGGGCAGCACTGGGCCAAGGCAGGGTCAGCACCAGAAGTGAGTGGGTTGTTTCCAATGCCCACGAAAGCTTTCAGTGATTCATAAGCGGCCCACACACTGCTTTTTCTAAAGCTTTGCAAGAGTCCTCTGAGGAGTTCTTCTGAAATCTCATGCCTTCACAGAGTTCTCTTTTGCAAACAGCCTGTTTGTAGGTCAGCAAGTCTGCTCTAGCCAGCAGCATCAGTGCGAGCATTAGTACTTGTCAGGAACATGAGAAAAGCCATTTTGTGTGGCTGGGAATAAGGTAAGGCTTGTAAGATGTGTAAAGGAACCAGCCAGAAGCCAGCTCTGGTATGAGCCAAGCTTAAAGCTGGCTCAGGTGTGTTAAGGACCGTACCCCAAAGTGGCCTCGATATGTTAATGAATCAACCTTAAACCATGACCCCTTACAGTGCAAAGCTAATGCCTATTAGGACAATACAAAAAATTTGAAATTCTGGAGACTGCCCCTGGCTTGCACTGCTCTGCTCAGGATACACAGTACCTGGAGCCTATGTGTGGATCCCCATCAACAAAGGGACTTTGAGACTGGCCGTTGGCTGACCGTAGCTCAGCAATGATTTAGTTTTCGGGCACCATTCCTGGGTTCACACATGCCACTGGCTGGTGCTCCCAAGGGCCTCCTGGAACTCCCAATAGTGTCATCCTCTTGGCTTGCCACAGCTGAGGGACTGAGCTGTCTCTCTTAACTGATCTCATGAGAGAGGGTTCCCCAGCGAAGCCAGCAGCATTTCCTGCCCTGCCCTGTTTACAAATGAGACTACCAGGCTCTTTATAACTGCACGGTCTTGTAAGGAATGTTTGTGTGAATAAACCCAGCATATTTGAAAGGCAAATCTTCTGTGGAGTTCCTTATGGCTGAACACCTCACAGCACACTTGGTCATGTTCTTTACACTATCCATCACACATATGACCAATTTGGGGGGATCTCTTACAGCTTATTAGGGAACAAAACTTCATTAATTAGATGCATTTCCCCTTCATTTTGTATTAGGGCCTTTCAAAAAACACTCTTGAGCTTCAACTGAAGGAAAAGACTACATCTTAATTTGCCTACTTCTTTGTCTTCATTTTTTCCAGTTGACCACCAGGGCAAAAACAGTCTTCTAGGCACCTCAATTCATATCAACATGCCTGAACAAGTACACATGGGGCCTAGAGAGATGGCTCAGTAGTTGAGAGCATATAATTGTTCTTATAGAGTTCAGTTTTCATCATTCATGTTAGGTGCTCACAACTTTCTGTAGCTCTAGCTCCAGGGGATCTGGTGCCCCCTTCTGGCATCCTTGGACACGCACACTCACTTGCACACACACACACACACACACACACACACACACACACACACACATACAATAATGAAATTAAAGAAAACAAGTATATATGTTAGGCTACAAAAACATGGTTTCTTATTGGTTTTAAGCTCCAAGCACCTTTAAAAGTGGCTTTCCAAGTTAAAACTGCAGATCCTGTGAAGCATGCATTCATAGCAGTATTGGGAGCTACTTAGACATCCCAAACTGGCAGGGGGGGGGAATCTAACCCAAACATGAAATGTTCATATGATGTAGTGTTATAAAATCAGTAGGCACGAATTATTTTAATTATTTTAAATAAGAGGAAATTTGAATTAATTAATTAATTAATTAATTAATTAATCCGAACCCTTGGGAGGCAGAGGCAGATGGATCTCGGTGAGTTCCAGGACAGCCTGGTCCAAGGAGCAACTTCCCAGATAGCTGGGACTACAAAGATTAACCCTGTCTTGAAAAAACATTAAAAGTTAATTTAATGTTTAGGATGCAAATTATTTTGTAGATGATGCCATATCCAGTTGTCTTTTGGCGTTATAAAGACTGGCAGGGAGAAGGAAAAGTATTCTGGTGGGGATAATGATAATTTTAATATTGTAAATACCCTACTTTTACAATGAAGGAAAAAAATATACCTCAAGGTTTCAAATTTAACCAATGGTAGTTTTCTTTTGGGTGAATAATATTAACATGCAAAAAAGGGGGGGAGTTCTGTATTGTTTTTAAGGGGGTGTTTTGAACCTCTTTTAATAGATTTTCTTTTGTTTGTTTTGTGGTTTGCTAACCATGGTGAGATGATTTTATAGTTTTTTATGTGAAACATGTGCCCTAACCTCTGGCTGAGATATTGTTGCATGAGAATGTCAGTCTCTGATTTTAAGACTTTTTTTTTTGACTGCTGTTTGCTCCCGTTGAGAGGATTTTTGACTTGCCCAAGTCTCTTGACTTTCACCTTTGTGCTAAGGATAAATATGAAGGGGATAGCTGATTTGTTCAAATATAGAAAAACTGTCAGAAATGCTTATTTAATGTCAATGAAAAATCCAAAATGCACATGGTCACTAATCATTTTAAGGGCCCGTTGCTTGAATTTCCTCCTTGATTTCAAAGCAAGACCTCTGGTTGTACAAAGTTGGCTCTTGGGGAAAGAAAATAAGGGAGACACAGTGGTCCTTGCCATTTCCAAAACTGGCAGGTATTATCATCACTGAAATGCCAGACAATGTACCAATATGCCAATCTCTCCCAACAACAACAACACACACAGAGGAATGTAGATCTTGTGCCCATAAGCCTCGAGTAGGAAGTTAAGATATGGACTAAAAAGCAAAGACCGAGCTAGGTGGTGGAGGCAAACACCTTTGATCCCATCTTTTGCGAGGCAGAGGCAGGTGGATTTCTGTGAGTTCCAGGCCAGTCAGAGCTGTCATACAGGAAAGCCCTTGTGGCAGTTTGAGTGTAATTGGTCCCCATAAGCTCATGAGGAGAGGCACTATTAGGAGGTGTGGCTTTGTTGGAGTGGATATGGCCTTGTTGAAGGAAGTGTGTCACTGTGGGGTTTCCTATGCTCAGGATACTGCCCAGTGTCTCTGTCAACTTCCTGTTGACTGCAAGATACAGAGTCTCTCTTCTGCCAGAGTGCTGCCATGCTCCCTGCCATGACGATAATAGACTGAACCTCTGAAACTGTAAACAAGCCCCAATTAAATGTTTTCTTTATGAGAATTTCTGTGGCCATGGTGTCACTTCACAGCAATAGGAAAACCTAATTAAGACAAAACCAAAAACAAACAAAAAAGCAAACAAGAGAGCCACTGGACATGTTCAGGGGTCAAGAAGTCTTAAGGATTGGAGACTGATAATCTTACAAAACATGATTTCAGTCAAAGTTTTTGCAAAATGTTTCACTCTTACAATCATAAAAATCTTCTCACTGTGGTTAGCAAATCGGGATAATCAAAGTAACCCTGATAAAATGGGTTCAAAACACCCCTCTGAAAACAAAGCAACAAAACACTTGATGTCACAGTATTTACATCCACAGTAAAACTTTAGATGGCTTTCTAAGTATAGCATTTTACTTTATAATTACGAAGGAAAGGAAATCTTATTAACAACATTCTAAAATCTAAGAAGGAGGGGTTATCCAAGTTTCATTTTATAAAACTCCATTAACCGTCTTAATAAGACTGAGGGGGGTCTTTGATAAATTGATTTTTTTTTCTTGCAGTCATGAACATTCAGCAACGTCTCACACACACAGACAGACCTGACTTTGAGACGAGGATGATCATCTAAATTGTGAATGAAGAATGCCTTTATGTTGCAGTTTCTTTCAGCATAATTAGGTCATTTGAAAAGAGCCCAGGGCTCTCTTTGCGGTTTGTTGGAAACCGTCAGGAGTACATGCTACTACTAAGCTTTTCCCTTCCCCACAGACTGTCTGACTCAGACACTATTTGAAGGGGACACCTGTTTTGAATGGATCCACAGGAAATACCTATGTGGTCTTCTCATAACCGGACCCTTTATCTGGTTGGTTGAAACATGATCATGCTTTAAAAGAAAAGAAAAGAAAAACTATGCTGCCCACAGATTGTTGCAACTTCCCCCTGACAACATTTACTGGAAGGCTGTAGGAATCAACTTTAGATTTACTTTCCTCCCATTGATCCCTGGAGCTGTAGTATAAGGAGGGAAATGTCGAAGTGCAAAAGGAATTTTAATTCCGAAAGATTTGTATTAAATCACACATGCGTGGGTGAGATTTACTTCCTCCGGGTGGTTTGGCTTTTAAAACGGAATGTAGTCTCATAGCAGTAACGACAATCATCATACATTTCTATTTATGAAACTTGTCCTAGTCGTTGAAATGGCTGAGCTGGAAAGGCACTTGCCCTCAAGCCTCATGACCTGAGTTTGATAGCGGGGACTCACTCTGTGTATTACTCACACAAGGTATCCTCTGACCTGCACACTTATCCAGTGGTATACACACACACACACACACACACACACACACACACACACACACACGAACGCGCACGTAATAAATAGAAAGTTTTAAGAGAACTTGTTTGAAGCTCATGTTGAATCTTCTGTTGCATACTGATAAATGAATAAAGCCTCGTGCAATTTTATAAGGGGTTTCACAGACATAAATGCTGATCAACTTTAAACCCTCAACCCAGTCCTAAGTAACAGACATCACCGTGTGTGTGGCTCTACATGCACTGACCCCAGGGGGTGCGGTGGCAGCCAGCATCTCCAGGGCCAGCACCTGCAGCCCCAGGATGCTGGCCCTCCGGTCACCCGGGCTGCGCTCCTGCTAGGCAGGCCTGGCCGCAGACCTCGAGGACCGCCTAGGGGGCGCCCGGCCCGGGCCGCGATCGCAGCTGCAGAATGACGCAGATGACGCCAGAGATGACACCAGGCCGCCAGCCCGCGCGCGTCCGCCGCACTCCCGCCCCGCCCGCGCAGGTCGCCGGTGCGCTCGCAGCCGCGTGCGTCCCGGGAGACGCGCCCCGCCTCCCGCGCTCCACCCCTCGCCGCGCCGCGCCCCGGTTCCCACGGCGCCACTGGGCACCGCGACCCAGCCTGCCCGCCCCGCAAGCAGCCCCGCCGGGCCAGGCCGCGCGAACATGGCGCTTGTCCCCTGCCAGGTGCTGCGCGTGGCCATCCTGCTGTCCTATTGCTCCATCCTGTGCAACTACAAGGCCATCGAAATGCCCTCCCATCAGACCTATGGGGGGAGCTGGAAGTTCCTGACCTTCATTGATCTGGTAAGGCCATAGGCTACCCCCGCCCCACCGTGTCCAGCCTGCACCGGCCCCCTCCCCGGTGTGTGTGTGTGTGTGTGTGTGTGTGTGTGTGTGTGTGTGATACAAGCGCCAGCGTGTGTGCGCCACCACCAGCCAAGCTGACTCCCATGAAGGCCTGGATGCCCCTCTCTCCTTTTACCTGGTAGGTAGGGGAGGTTAAAAAAAAAATGGGGGCACAGCCAAATGACCACAAGTCTGCTTCTCAGAAGTGTCATGGGAAGAGGATTCCACCACCAAAAGCGTCTGTCAGCCTTGATCCTGGCTGTCCTCAGGTTCATTCGCCACCAAAGTGCTTTTCCAGAGTCACCTGCCAAGGTAAACTTGCAGCACTCATGCAGGGGACGGAGCTTAGAGGTACCGGAACCCCTCCGTCCGGGGGAGAGAAATCGCAGAATAAAACCTTCTTTGCACATGCTTTTCTGCCCGTTGTCAATGAAGTGTTTTTAACCTTTCCACTAGAAACACCCTAGAGAACGGACCTTGGGGTGGCTTGACCTGACACACTTGGAACCTCCAGTCTTCCACGGTGAAAGTTTGCAGTTTGCATAATCATCTCCCCACCCCACACACACGGTACTGTTAAAGAGGTGCAGGAGACTATAATTATTATTTTAAAGTTTTCCTGCCTTGCGTACTGAAAGTACTCTTGCAGATAATCAGAGGGCGGGAACACAAGGTAAACCTGGAACTTCTGAGTGAAGGAAAAGTCACCAAGACCAAGTCAAACGGTTTCCAAACGTGGGCGGTGTGTGGAAATGAACAGAGAGAGATACACAGCCAACTCTAATCCTCCATTTTGACGAATGTGAGCCTATTTGAAGTTCTTCCCGGAGGTGTAGAATTCTTGTAGAAATGCAGGTTTAGGCTTTCAAAAGGCCTGTTTGCATCGTGTAAGATATACTCCCCTCTGAACACGTCTTACTTGCCTGTGTTCCTCTCCTCCTACATCTGTCCTCCTGGGGAGCACGCGATGGGGCGTGTGCTCCTTGCCACTTTCTGGTAGATGGTTATCACCAAGATTACCTTCCTGGAGTTGCTGATGGGCTAATCAGTGGAGCGGGGCTTTGCCAGATGTTTGCATAGTCAGATTATCATGCACAGAAAGACTTCGGAGCATGTACGAGGCACCAGGAAGCCTGTCTCTTCTTAAGGGTGTTTGATGCTCACATCAGTCATGCTCATAGGCCATTAAAAAAATACATGCATACATTTTAAGAGTCCTTTAGAGTCAGCCCTTCCCTGGAGTTGGCCCATTTGAGTGTGGCCAAACATGGAGCCACAGCTTTTATGAACACTGTCCTACTGTTTGCCTTTCATGGGTCTTGTGGGGGAGTAGAGACACAGGTCACTGGGTGAGAGGGGCAGGAACTGGGGTGCTGGTTAACCCAAGAACGGGGTTGCCGCTTCACACATTGGCATTCCTTATTATAAGTTAGAAAGCAAGGCTCACAGGAAACAATCTCCCTTCCATTAACCTTCATGTGACTTGCAACAGCAGTAGAGTCAGTTTGATAGGCTGCCGTGCCTTTTCTAATTTTGCATTCAATAGTTGGACTTGCTTATTTTTAATAGCACTTGCCTATACAGTTTTTTTTTTTTTTGTAGTCCAGTATTAAACTCAGGTTTAAAACTTCATTTCCTATTTATGCTTTAGCCCTCTGTTTATCTAGAGCTGTAATCCAATCACTCAAACTTGTCACATTCTGTGGCTCCTGATTGAAATAGAATAATTACACTTAGCCAGTAGTTCCTAAGAGAAACTACATCTGAAATGCATTCCAAAAAGCATGCATAGTGTTATTCTTCCATTAGAGGTTTCGGGTGCTTGGGGCATTGTATAGCTGTTCAAACAGCTAACCTGTCAGACCCCTGGGTTGGCCTGAAAAGAGGATCTTAATGAAAGTTACCATTTAATTTTACATCTCTCTCTCTCTCTCTCTCTCTCTCTCTCTGTGTGTGTGTGTGTGTGTGTGTGTGTGTGTGTGTGTGTGTGTGTTTAAATGACAGTGAATAAACTATATTAGCATCTTGGGCAATTTTAATGATTCTAGTCGATTTTTAAAGAGGACCATTGCTTTTCACAATTTTAATGAGAAGGTCCCATTTCTTGACAACTTGGACTGAATGTAGAGAGGGAATCAACCCTGATGGCTACAGCTGGATCCTAGTTCTGCAGAATCAGTTTACTCAACAGGAGTCAGGAAGCTGGAACTCATGTATCCAGGTGCAGACGGTTATGTGGTGGTAGCTATCCTGGCCTAACTTCCAATCCGTCTTTGGGTAGGATAGTAATTCTGGTAGATTCAAACCTGTGGTCAAACCCTGAAGCACAGCTTGTTGTTACCGGTAATCTTAGATTATTGTTGCCCACGAGTTGCTTTTCTTGGTGTGGGAAGCCTGCAGGGGATCGAGAGCGTTATTGGAGTGTTCAGGTTAGTAAGTGGGAAAAGACCATCTGCATGTGGTGAGAAGGGCGGAACCCAAGGATTTCCATCTCTAAGCCCAGGATCCATGACCATGTTAAACTACCTGGCCAGAGAGGAATTCGGGCTGCAGGTGGACTTTGGACTGCTTAACAACTGGGCTTATTTTTTTTTTTTTCTGGATGATGCAGAATAATTAACTGGGCTCTGTGTACTCCTGAGCATCCTTAAACGCAGAATGACAAGGGAAGACTCAAGAGGAGGAGGAAGAGGAAGAGGTGGCCTTTGAAGTGGAGGGCAGAGTGGCACCATGGTCAGTTGTGAAGATGGCCAGGGAGGGGCAAGGCATTGGATTGTCCTCTAGCATTTCTGGAAGCCATAACAGATTTGCTGACATCCGGTTTTTGTCTCAGGGAAATGTGTTTGGGCTTGTGACTTCCAGAGCTATAAAATAATAAGCGTATGTAGTTTTGGCCACTAAAATTCTGGTAGCTTGTCTTAGCAGCAATAGAAAGAGAACATTCTTGGCTGTAAAGCCTCTGGTTTAAAGAAAGCATTCTCACAACTGAATGCATTCTGTTAGCTAGTCCTTTTTGCATATTAGACCTTTGTTTCATTTTGGATTTTATGGAAACATAGGGTTTTTTTTAACCTGCTTTTTATCATGACGAGTATGCATATGTGTAACATGGAAAAAAGTATGCCTTTACTTTGCTGTGAACCATCTCAGAAACTTGCTATACAACACCCTGAGCCAGAAGAACTACTCTTAATTGTAAACATGCCAGGAAAAAAAAAATTAAACAAGCTGTTTAGATATTCTCTTAGTCAGTGTTATTGCTGATGGGTTTTCTTCCAATGATCAGGATTCATGCCTGTATTCACTAGCTGCACGGTTCTTCTTCAGCTTGCATAGTAATTATTCCCAAAGATAATTAAAACAAAGAATTAGAGTAAAAAATGGCATAAATTAAACAAAAACGTGATGGAGCATTGTATAAGCCCTCATGATACCGCTAGGAGCAAGAGGTTCTAAGTAAATGAATAAGCGGAAATTATCTCTTTCCAAATAGTTCTTTTCTTTGTCCTCCCTCCTTCCAAAACACCAAAGCCAGTCTTAAAGTATTTTGACCCAAACATTATGTAGATGTGTACATTAGAATGTCTAATAATGGAGGCAGACTCAACTCCCTTGAAAACACGAACTGGATATTTGTTATTATAACTTAGCAATGGTGTTGGAGTCAAATTCCTAAAAAAAAAGAAAAAAAAAGTGAGGTCTGGTATTGCCACCCACTGTGGCCTTATTACTTACCATTTTGAGAGTTATCATTTCTCAGGGCAGTGTGTTGCCCATTGCTTCCGTACTGACGTTTCATCCAAGCATTGGCCAGATGTTCCATGCTCAAAGTGTCAGCCAAGAGCCACATGACCAGCTGGGTCCAGGTCCACTCTTTAACTCACACCTTTTGTTTTAGTCATTTTCCCCCTGGCTGTGACAAAATAACCCCCAAAGAAGGGGTTTAAGGGACTAACAGTTTAATTTGGTTTACAGTGTGAGACAGAGGCCATAGTCCACCACAAAGGGGAAGGCATATTGGCAGGAGTGTGAAGTTGAGGGTCACATGCCTTCTGATGTCAGGAAGCAGAGAATGGAGTTGGGCATCAAAATGTCAAGGCTCACCCATACCCACTCATTTCCTCTAAGGAGGCCCCACCTCTTGAAATTTCTGTAACCTTCCAAAACATGTTCAGTGGGTGGGGTCCAGTGCTGAAACATGGGGGCCTATGGGAAACATTCCACACCCAACCTCAACACCTTCTCAGCCAGAAACTGAATCTTAATAAGATCATCACGTGATGCTTGCCCACATTCTAACTTGATAAATGATGTTCTTGGCTGCACTGTTTTGTCATTTAATGTGAAATGCCCATACATATTAATTATACATACTTTCAAAATATGCTTAAGTTGCCTTAAAGTGTGACATACTTAAAACATGCAAAAATTACAGCTTGAAATAAAAGAGAAATACAGGTGGTGGGCTAGTTATTACAATTGGAAAACATAGGGATAATCTTCAAGGGAGCCAAGACATAAAAAAAAAAAAAAAAAAAAAAAAAAAAAAAAAAAAATCCATTCTCTGTCCCTAGAGTTGAAATGAAGGAAGATTAAAATCCTATCTGGGGTAAGTCTCTTCTGGGCATTGACTTTTTGAGGCTGTCACCCATATCCTCAGATTTAGGACACTAGTAGCATAATACATAAACCCTTTTTTAAGCATTATTATAATTCAACAATGTTTTGTTTTCCTGCTTTGTTTTTGAGACAAAGTCTTGCTGTGTATTCCTGGCTGGCCTTGAACTGGAGGATACATTTCCCTGTCTGTCTTTTTAGTGCTGGGATTAAAGGCATGTGCCACCATAGCCAGCTAATTAAACCTTCTTAAAGTTGATGAAAAACCAAGGCAGGGTCTTACATTTCATCTGAGCAAATGGATGGAGAATGGGTTCACATTGTATCATTATCTATTCTAT